CTGAGCATCTGTCCCGTGCTGGGCTGACCCCGGAGCTGGCAAACCTGCCCACCCGCAGAGCTGGCCTGGGGAGGGGGGGCTGCCCGTCCAGTGACACCCACGGGGCTGAGCGTGCTCCCAGGACATGCAGGAGCTGTGTTCACTTTGGGGGCTTTGTGCATGCATCCTTCTTGCATGTTATCCTGTTCATGCCCTTGTTTCATTTTGTTTTGTCCTCTCTCTTTAGTGCTGCGATGTCCTTCACCTCCAAATATTGACAAAGGAAATCACAACAGCCATGACTTGGAAGTTTTCACTGTTGGGATGGTTGTAAATTATAGCTGTGATCCGGGCTACAGCCTCCTGGGAGAGGCATCGATTTACTGCACTGATTCTGGAAACTGGAGCCTCCCCCTTCCTCGGTGTGCAGGTACACTGTGGTTCCGAGGTAATGGCTGGAGTTATGGATAGACTGGGGATTTCTGCCACTGAAAGCCTGCGGGAGTCATCCCTTCCCTCACTTTTCCCATAATGTTGAATCCTTCAGCCTTTCCCTTTTATTGTCAGTTTTGCTTGTAAACTTTTATCTATGCTTACTCAATACATGCTTTAAAACAACTTTGTGTAGTTCATATTCCTATTTCTCCCTCTGTTTTCTTTCTCATAGATGGCTGTGGTGCACCTCCAAACTTAACCTTCGCTGAGCTAACTGAGGAACACAAAAACCGGACGGAGTTTCCTGTTGGGGACACCGTGCGATACAACTGCCAGCCGGGATACATGAGACACCCCGGAGTACTCCTAACTCTGACATGCCTCAAAAACCACACGTGGTCTGAAGCGCTAGCGTTCTGTAAAAGTGAATAGCTCCATCAGTTTGGTGTTGGTTTCTGGAAACTGTCTAAGCTACATTTGTGGGTTTCTTAAAGCGATTCTTTAAAAAAATGATTCATACATGGCTTCACTAGTCACATAGTTTAGGCAGCTAATGGCCTTTTAACAATCACCTTTATTTGTGTCTGAATGTGGACAGATCCTTAAGATCCTTCTCATAGTGCATTACAAAACCGCAAGAGAGGAGTTTAAACTCAGCCTTGTTCTTTCCCAGGGAAGCAGTGTAAATACCCAGAAGCACCAAAGAATGGCAGAGTTGTTGTTCTGACAGATCTCCTGTTTGGGTCAACCGTGAGCCATGAGTGTGATGAAGGGTGAGTCCCACGCTGCCTCTGCTGATGCCGTTTTCTGAGCTTGGTGTCGGGCAACTTAGAGTAAAGGCTCAGAGCCCACTCTTCTGTGCGGGCTGTTCATCCACAGCAAGCCAGAATTTGTATTTCGGTTCCAGTTGTGCCACAGTTGCCAGCTCATGAGAGGGAGAAGTCTCTCATTTGTCCCTGCCTGTGATCAGTAGATTACTTTGCAAACTTCAGTTTCAGCCTGTCTTCTCAGATGGCCACTTGGCAGGAGCTGAGAGCATGAGCAAGCACATGCTGCAAGGAGCTCCAGCAGTTTGGAAATCCCATGGGTCTGAGTCCCGATTTAGCACCTGATCAATCAGTAATTTGGGATCATTGCTGTTCCTTTTGGATCTGGGAAGATGGAACTTGGTGTCCTTCATCCCCATGTGTCAAAGCAACAGAAACACCTCGGTGACCGGCCAGAATGAGGAGGCTGCAGAAGGAAACCTCTGGGGGTAGTGTCAGAGTGGGAGTGCAAAACCCAAGCTGAATGACTTGGTATCAACTGGTATTTCTTTCCTTGTAACTCCAGGCACCGACTGGTTGGACAGTCTCACAGGCGATGTGAGATTTTTGGACCAGATGTTGCATGGAATGGTGCTCTTCCCATTTGTCAGAGTAAGTAGCTGACAACTAGATCTGTCCCAGAATTGCCAAATTATGTCCTTAGAATTAAAAAGTGGCATTTCCTTAACACACACAGAACCTTGAGGAACAAGGCTTCTAAAGCATAATAGTCCTCTGGGATTGTTTTGTCTTGCTTGCTTGGCTGATTTCTTCTAAAAATCTTCCAGATGCTAGCTTTTGATCTTTCAGTTATGTAGAATGCAGAGTTGTGAGATGCCTGCAGGGATTTGTCTCTTTTGTCTCACAAACATAAATAATAAATTAAGGAAGAAATGTGTCTTGCAGTAGAAGAGTGGGATATTGAGTAAAACTGAACTGGGATCTTCCAAATACTGTACTGTTATCCATACCACAAGGCGGTTTTGCAGGGGTTGATCGTTGCAATTAGTCTTTCCTTCAGATGGAGTTGCTTTGGAAGGCATGAGCTTGGTATAGTGAAGCAGTCACGAGAATGACTAACAGCGCTTATGGATATCTACACCATTTAATATATTTATTGGAATGTATTTGCATTATTCTGTTTATAGGCACAAAACTATGTTTATATATACAATAATGTGGTAACCCTAGAGTACCAAAAGGAACCCAAAAGCCCTCAATTCTTGACGCTTCTTTTGTGAGTCTCCAGGTACTACCTGAGAAACTCTTCTGAGAAGGGGCATGTTAAGGATGGACTTTATATAGGCATCAATTACAGCATACATACGGGACCCTCTTTGAGATAATGAATTTATTTTTCAGAGGTGGTATGTCCAGTCCCACAGATCCGGAATGGGAGAGTATCTGCTCTTAAACATCACTACACATACAGAGATACTGTCAGCTTTAAGTGCCGCAAAGGCTTCACCCTGCGAGGCCATCGCACATCCCAGTGCCAAGCTGATAAAACTTGGGCTCCACCAGTACCAGTCTGTGAGCAGGGTAAGTGTCAGCACTGACTTGCCAGCATCGCAGATTCCTACCCGCTTATGGAAGCCAAAGTTGGCTTTATTTTCCCTGTTTGCTCCAACTACTTTCAGGAGAAACCAGAAGCTGTTCCTTTTATTTACGCCTCTCTTCTCAAACAGGTTTTGGCTAATGCTGTTAAGTATAAGCGTGATTTGCACTTTTCTCACTCTGCTTGTTGCTATCCATAATCCACATTCTCTTCATTTCCTGAAAGTGAGAAATTTGATAGCTTCATGGCAGGACATTGACTATCAGAGGGGAGTGAAATCTTTGCTGGAAATATAAAGGCAAGATGATGGAAAATGAAGGTAAATTTGTGCACTGTATTTGCTGAACCAAATGTGTATTTTAAACTTTTCATGCTGCATCTAGACGGCGTGGCAGAACACTATCACCATCCTGACAGCACAGCGAAGCCAGGTAGGTCTATTATAAGAAGCAGCAAGATTTACTAAACACTAACTCCTCCTCCCAACCTGTCCTGCTTTTGCAGTGAAGAGGGCTAGCTGCACAGCCATCCACAGGTGCTCAAAAGCTTCCCCTCTTGCCCATAGGAGCTCTGTTTTCATCTGCACTTCTCTCCTTTTAGTGCTGCGCTGTTCCAAGCCTGCAGATGTTGCCCACGGATCCCTCCGTGGCCCGACAAAGGCATTTTTCTCTCCTGGAACATCTGTAAGCTACACCTGTGAGCCTGGCTTCTCTCTCATTGGGACAGCGTCCATTTATTGCACACGCTCTGGAGCCTGGAGCCATCCTCCTCCGGTCTGTCAAGGTGTGTTGTTGTTGCAGAGAGCTAGGAAGAAAAGACATTTAACATGACTTTCCTTAAGGAAAGGTTTGTATAAAGACTAAGTCCAAGTCCTTTACTACAGAATGTGTAGTAAGCTTATACTAATTTCCAAAGCCTGATGGAGTTACAGGGTTACAAAATGAGTTGTTGAGCCTAGGTGAAGAAATTAAAAGGGAACAATCAAGGCTGCAAAGGCATAGTGCCTTAGCTACTCTCTGGCAGTCCATCAGGATCCTCATGTCAATGCTGTTGTTTGCCTCTCCCTGACTTCCCAGTTGTGAAGTGTCGCCATCCTCCAAGCATCATCAACGGGAAGCTCAAAGGCAACATCTCTGACACTTTCTCCTATGGAGCATCTGTATCCTACAGCTGTAATCCTGGTTATTCACTCGTTGGGAATGCTTTCATCAACTGCACAGTCTCAGGAACCTGGAGCCAGCCTCCTCCTCAGTGCAAAGGTGTGTTAGTGCTTAGTTGGCTCTTGTTGCTTGGAATTCGTGGTGGCAGAATCACGAATTCTGGAAGACAAGTTTAATTCTTGCATGTTTTCCATCTCTGCTCGTTGCTATGAATGAGTTGTATAGTAACTTCCCTCCATTAAAACCTTATTACTCTTGGGAGAACAGTCAAAACTTTTTCCCTTCCCTTTCCTTCCCTTTTTTGTTTCTCACTCCCCAGTTATGACTAACAGGAAACAAAGGAAATTATTACACGTTATTATATTATACTATATAAATTATTATACAGATGATCTCTGATGGACGATTTGTAGATTACACATGAGTCTGACTATTCCCTACTTGGAAAACACCTCTCTATCTGTGACTTGGCACTTCTGTGTAGCTCACTGCGAAGGTCAGTCATTGGGGAAACTTGACTAACAGCACTTTCATGAACGTCACAAGATTCCTAGTGTGGGTGTTCCTGCACAGAAAACTGGACATTCACTGGAATAAATTCATTACCCACACAAGGTGCTTCCTTGGTGGAGTTGCACCCACCTCAGTGACTCAAGAACTGAAAGGCGCTGAGGTAACAGTGAGAGGAAATAACACACCAAATGCTTATGTAAATAAGTCAGAGGCTCTTTAAAGGAAGCAGTCTCACAGAAAAACTCTCCCTGCCATTCCACATTCTCGTGGTTTTGAAGTGTCTTTAGCAACTAATACATGTGATAGTAAAAATAAATATGAAAAAAAAAGATGTAAAACAAAGGGTAAAAGTTAAATGTTGACGTTACTCCTTTGGTCTCCACTGAGAACCTTCTCCTCCAGAATTCTTGGGCTTGGACTGTGAAAGGTGCTTAAATTCAAGAAACTAACTCACTTAATTGAAATCAGTGGTATAAGTAGCTTAGCTGGCTGGACTTAATAGTAAACTGATTATTGATAAATAATATGGCTGGTGTCATCTTTTAAGGGCAAGAGACTTCTACAGACCAGAAGTGGGTTATAGGCAGTTGGCTCTAAAGCTTCCACAGAATTCTTCCCTGCTACACCTTTCCTTCTCCAACTGTTTTGGTAGCCCAGTATCAGAAAAATCTCTTTCTCTGGCAGGCTTCTCCCAAGATACCCCTGCTACACGTGATCTTCCATCTGCCATATCAGTGTGCAGTAGCTGATCCGTACAAATATTCACGTGCGCGAGTATTTCTTGTATTTTATGTTCCCTCTCATTGAATGTCCTTTTTTGTTACTTCTAATTTCAGAGATCAGATGCGTATTCCCAGAAGTTCAAGGTGTTAAGAAAGCCATAAAAGGAAATACTTATCGCTCTGGGACTAACATCACTCTTGAATGTGATGATGGCTACACGTTGGAAGGCATCAGTCAGATTCAGTGCCAAGAGGACTTCAGCTGGGACCCTCCCATACCAGCCTGTAAACTGAGTGAGTGAAATGTGAACAAAGCAAAGAGCAAACAGAAACATGCAAAGATACTTTTAAATATGCAAATATATTTCCATATTAAAAATGTGCATATATATAATGGTGTGGTTTTTAAGAAATCCTGTATGGTAGGCCTTAGCAGTAAAAGCCTTATTGATACAGTGATTAACTACAGGTGAGAAACACCGTGTTTTGTTAGAACAGTTTGCTGACTTTTCTTTCTCTCTTCCCTTCAGCATCACACAAGTCTGGTTCAGTAGGCCTAGGTAAGCAGCTCAGAAACATCTCTGTGGCCAGGCCTTTAACTTTATGCAGTGGCCTCAGAGGCACCGTTTCCCTGGCTTGCTTTGAAGCTATGCCTCCTTACGTCTTTTGTGCTGATACACTTTGAAACATACAGTGAGAATAATACGTGCTCTTCTCTCTCAGGAGCCGCAGCTGCAGGGGTCCTGCTTCTCCTGGGGACAGGCATTGTCTGGAAAATTATTTCTAAGCAGAAGGAAGGGTAAGGCGGTCTTCAGGATGTTCATTCACATCCTTTGTTGCCAAGTCCCAAGTTTTATGCACTTTACACAGTTGAAGTGTGCCCGGGTCTTGTAATTTTGTATCTTCAGCTCACCCTTGCAAACTGTACCAGGCACAGCAACCTGGAATTGATGGTGCGGTTGCGTTGTTTAATTTCAAGATGCTCTTACTAAGAGGAAACCAACCTGAGTGTTCTTTTACAAACCAATACTGTTCACTGTTTTCTTCTTTTTCACTTAGCTACTATCGTACGTATGAAAACTACAGTCACCAAACCCCTCTGGACCAGAGAACTGAACAGAAATGTTCATGTCTTCCGCAGAAGGTATGGATTTATATTCCTCAACATAAAATGTCAGTTATAGTTGCAAACTTGAGTTGTTCCAACATAGTCATTCAAGATGAAAACTCAACTCTGTCCCCTCAGTCTTCTGGTACGATGCTTTCTTTTGCGGATTAAGTAAAAGACACTGTTTTAAACATACAGGTTTTTTTAAACATACTATTTTTCTTTCTGACTTCATACAGATAAGTCTTAAATTTTCATACACCTCCCCTGAAATCTAGAGAATTGAATCCAGATATTGTTCTAGGCACCACACCTAATGTGCGTTTCCTTTTCCATAACCGGAATAGATGACAGCCATGGGTCAGACTTTCAGGCTGTGCTTTGCTTCTGACATAAACTTGCTTTTGTTTTGTAAGGATTACAGGAGAGCTTCCTCTCTAAAAATAACAGCACTAGCCCAAGAAAAGGACGCTGAACTAGGCCTTTGGGGGTTTTCACTTGCTTTTACACTTATTGCAATGACATTTTTACTTACAGGCGAATCTACTTTCTATGCTGAATCTATCACAGATAACAATTAATTTTCACTGTTAGCAGCACTCTGAACATAATCAGCTTTGACTACAAAATCGCACCTGTAAATATTAGCTCTCTTTTTTTTAAAAGCTGGTTTTAAAGAATTCCCCCTTTGAAACCATGCATTTCCCAGAAAGCCTCCTCCCTTTCTGAGCGATGATGTAATCTCTAGACATGGGTGTGAAAAGAGGACATTTCTACACCAGGATGTGCTCTGTTTCCTAGGCAGGGCCCCCGTGCTGCCGCTAGCCCGGCGCTGGACCCTCCGCGGCAGGGAGCGGCTGCAGGCTGCCTGGAAGCCATTGCTACCTCGGGACTGAAGTTCGGTGGTGAAAAAGGCACTTTACTGGAGAATCAACATTAATGCTCCTTCTGCTCCCGCTAATTAAATCAGCCCAGGGATCTAACCAAGTTCAAGCTGTTCAAAGTTCAAGTACGGATGCTGTTTCAAAGGGACTTCCGTGCTCTGAAAACCCTACACCTTTCGGCAATTGCAAACCCCATGAAAAACCCGTGAAAACCTTCCTCTGCACCTGGGGAAGTCACAATTTGTTAAACCAAAGATGCCCTTAACAGCAACTGCGTTCCCCAGACGCTGCTCTGTGTTTTCTTCCAGGAACGCTGATTGGTAGGGTTCCTCTACCAACCTAATAAAAGCTGAATGTGGGACAATGAGGGTTTTGTCTCTCCTGCATCCATCTACAGTTTTAAGCCATTTTCTTTTTCAAATACAGGCGGCTGGTCTTTCCCAGGAGCAGCAGGCCTGAGCAGGGCTGTTCCCCCCCGGCGGGCACACAGGCCTCTCTCACTCGGCGTCGGCCTTTGCCGGCCTTCACTGCGCGCAGCCGCCCCCGCTTCCTCCGGGGCAACAGAGAGGG